GGAAGGAAAAAAGAAGAGTTGGTGTGAGAAGTTTGAATGCACCTTCGTAGAATTCCGGGTGTATTATCAAGCTGAAGTCATGAGAAATGATAAAAACCAAGAGAAAGGAACCGAACTAGCACTTTTAGAAGAAGAAGAAAAAAAGTGTCCCCCGGCTGATCGATTTCGTTGAAAAACCCATGTCAGTATGGAAGCTAGCTCAACGACCTTCTTGTTTCTTCTCTCGCGAAGAATACAAAGTAGCATAATTTTTTTTAAAAAAATTAAGATATATAATTTTCAACTCAACCTCTCACTTTGATTAACGGATAAGCGCGTGCTCCGGGTGTCTCTAAAATACATTTTCAACTTCATCGACTCTCTGTTCGAGTGATTGAAAAGCGGGCGAAAACAAATATTATGGTCAATCCAGGTGCGTTTGCATAGGGACAAATCAATGATCTTTTCTTTTCCCTCATGTATAGGAGGCCAGGGCAAAGTTCTCCTCCCCTCCAAGCTCCACCTGTACTCCGTCTGCCGCTCCGAAGGCTGGTGGCAGGGTGGAGAATCTCGGCGCCTCGACTCTGCCTAGTAGTTCAAGGTAGCGTTTTATAGTCCTCACAGAGGTGGTGCTCGAACTAATGACGACGCTTCATCTTTGTGTTGGTCCTCTGAGCTTCGATCCTCCTCAAATCGCTTAATCAGGACGAAGTCGATGGAGCATGTACATGTGTGCATGACGATGAGATCTAAGGTCAGGCCAACTACGGTATGAGAGTGGCGACGACACGTCGGCAACTCGTTCTTTTCTTTTTTGCGGGTGATCTATTGTCGGCAGCTCGTTTTGATGGTCATAGTGGTTGTTCGATGATCCATGAACCTCATTGTATTTTTAGTCATGTTTGAGGTGGCTTGTACTTTCGATGAACTTTTATAGTATATGAATATGTATTTTATAAATAGAAAATCATCACTTGATTATGCCGCATGCGGTTAACATGTTAACCGTCGACTCTGTCGCGGCATCGGTGGATCTTCCGGGCTGCCGGCTGGGCGGGTCTACTAAAATTCGTCGTGTCCGGCCGTCGGCGTCGTGCATGCGGCCATAGCTGCCGGGTTTTCCACGACGAAGACGAGCTGTGCCGCGCGGAACTCCGACCGAACGATCCAGCCAGTCTTTCTTTTTCTTTTACCGGGAGAGAGATAGAACGAGTTGTCTCAGTCGTCTACTGTCAAGTTGCATCTGTCCATGCCATGCGACGGCACCCCAATTCAATTAATTCCATGCGACGGCACCCCTCATCACTGCTCAATTTATCCTCTAATCTTTAATCATTCCTCATCATTTCAAATCATCTAACTTTCCGAACGGTCACCCATCCTCCCACTCCCTCAGCCTGAGTACGCTTAACTTACGGGTTCTATTCTCCCTCGTTTCCAAGTCTGCACTTGTTGTTTTCCTGACAATAGTAATAAGATGTCAATCCTGTTAACCCTCAGGAATTTTGCTTGAGCATGAAGGGACACATTTCAATGTTTGAGTTTGAAACTATTGTTTTAAAAAACAATAATTATTTAGTAACACTAATATTTCTTGAATAATTAGTTTGACCATTGTTTGACCACAGTTTGACTAGATTTGACCAAAATTCAAAATAACTAAAATAGTTATTTAGTAACACTAATATTCTAGAATAATTAGTTTGACCATTGTTTGACCACAGTTTGGAATTTTTTCGATTTTTTCCACTCTAGATCTTAAAAGCCCCATAACTT